TCATTTATCATTTCTAATAATTTTTGATGGAGTCTTTAGGGTTTTCATGTTGTCTGTGAGTATTGACAGTTTTATTTTTCTTTCCAATTTGGATGTCTTTTATTTTTTTCTTACATAGTTGCTCTGGCTAGGACTTTCTAATACTGTTGAGGGTTTTCATCATGAAAGAATGTTGAATTATGTCAAGTGCTTTTCTGCATCTATTGAGATGATTGTATGCTTTTTATCATTCATTCTATTAATGTGGCATATCACATTTATTGATTTATGAATGTTGAACCATTCTTAGAAAAATTCCCACTTGATCATGGTGTATGTTTCTTTTATTGTGCTGTTGAATTTGTTTTGTTAATATTTTGATGAGAACTTTTACATCTGTGGTGCTCAGGGATGCAAGACTGAAGTTTTCTTGCAATGACTGTATCTGGCTTTGGTGTCAGGGTAATCCTGGCCTCATAAAATGAGTTAGGGAGTTTTTCTCTTGTCTTGAGTTTTTTGGAAGAGTTCGAAAAGGATGGCTATCAATTCTTTCCTTTTTTCTTTCTTTCTTTTGACCGTGTTGGATTTTAGTTGCAGCACACAGGGTCTTAACGCTTCTCTCTGGTTTTTTTCAGACAGATTGAAGAGTGCATGGGTGCTCTAGTTGAGGTGCATGGGCACAGTAGTTACCAGCAGCATGAGGGACCCTAGTGCCCTGACCAGGGTCAAACCTGGATCTCCTGCATTGGAAGGCGGATTCTTAACCACTAAACCACCAGAGAAGTTCCACTATCAATTCTTCTTTGACCCTGGTAGGATTTGGTTCTGGGCTTTTCTTTATTCGAAAGTTTTTTTTTGATTACTAATTCTCTTTACTTATTGAACTGTTCATATTTTCTGTTTCTTCATGATTCAGTCTTGGTAGGTTGTATGTTTTTAGGACTTTTCCTTTTTATTCCAGACTATCCAATTTGTTGTTGTTCAGTCACCAAGTTGTGTCTGACTCTTTGCGACCCTATGGACTGCAGCACGCCAGGCCTCTCTGTCCCTCACCATCTTCCAGAGTTTTCCCAAGTTCATGTCCATTGAGTCGGTGATGCCATCCAGCCATTTCATCTTCTGCCACCCTCTTCTCCTTCTGCCTTCAATCTTTCCCAGCATCAGGGTCTTTTCCAATGAGTTGGCTGTTTGCATCAGGTGGCCAAAGTATTGGAGCTTCAGCATCAGTCCTTCCGGTGAGTATTCAGGGTTGATTTCCTTTAGGATGGACTGGTTTGATTTCCTTGCTGTTCAAGAGACTCTCAAGAATCTTCTCCAGCACCACAGTTCAAAGGTGTCAATTCTTCAGCATTCTGCCTCCTTTATGGTTCAACTCTCACATCCGTTATGACTGCTAGAAAGATCATAGCTTTGACTCTACAGACCTTTAGTCAGCAAAGTGATATCTTTGCTTTTTAATACGCTGTCTAGGTTTGTCATAGCTTTCCTTCCAAGAAGCAGTCGTCTTCTAATTTCATGACTGCAGTCACCATCCACAGTGATTTTGGAGCCCAAGAAGAGAAAATCTGTTACTGCTTCCACTTCTTCCACCTCTATTCCCAATGAAGTGATGGGGCCGGATGCCATGATCTTAGTTTTTAAGCAGGCTTTTTCACTCTCCTCTTTCACCCTCATAAAGAGGCTCTTCAGTTCTTTGGTTTCTGCCATTAGAGTGGTATTATCTACATATCTGAGATTGTTGATATTTCTCCTGGCAGTCTTGATTCCAGCTTCTGCTGCTTCATCCAGCCCAGCATTTCACATGATGTACTCTGCGTAAGTTAAATAAACTTTGTACTCCCTTCTCAATTTTGAACCAGTCAGTTGTTCCAAGCAAGGTTCTAACTGTTGCTTCTTGATCTACATACAGGTTTCTCAGGAGATAGGTAGGATAGTCTGGTATTCCTGTCTCTTTGTTTTCCACATTTTGTTATGATCCACACAGCCAAAGGCTTTAGCATAGTCAATGAAGCAGAAGTAGATGTTTTTCTGGAATTCCTTTGCTTTTTCTATGATGAGACAAATGTTGACAATTTGATCTCTGGTTCCTCTGCCTTTTCTAAATCCAGCTTGTACATTTAGAATTTCTCAGTTCATGTACAGTTGAAGCCTAGCTTGAAGGATTTTGAGCATTACCTTGCTAGCATGTGAAATGAATCCAGCTGTGGGATAGTTTGAACATTTTTTGGCATTGCCCTTCTTTGGGATTGATATTTTAGTGATCTTTTAAAACGCCCAAATTTTGGCTTATTGATTTTATGCATTCAATTACACTGACTTTTTTCTCTCCTGCTTTTCAGTTCATCCAATGAGTTTTAAATTTTGATTACTGTTTTTTTAATTCTGAAATTTCCATTTGGTTCTTCCATTTTATATATTGTATTTCTTTACTGATACTTTTGTTGCTGTTTAGTTGCTAAGTGGTGTCTGACAGTTTTGTGACCCCATGGGGTGTACCCTATCAGGCTTTGTCCATGAGATTTTCCAGGCAAGAATACTGGAGTGGGTTGCCATTTCCTTCTTCAGGGGATCTTCCCAACCCAGGGATCCATCCTCTCTTGCATTGTTGGCAGGCGGAGTCTCTACCACTGGGCCACCTGGGAAGCCCTTGCTGATGGCTTACTTTCCATTTTAACATTTGTTTCAAGAGTGTCACAGTTGCCATTTGAGCAGTCATCTGACATGACTTTGAAGTCATGTCAGATAATTCCAATATTTGTATCATCTTGTCATTGGCATCTTTAACTATGTTTTCCCATGTGAGTTGAGGTTTTTGTATTTCTTCATATGCCAAGTAATTTCAGATTGTATTTCATACCTTTGTATGTATTACACGAAGAATCTGTTTTAAGTCCTCTTGACAACTTTAGTATTTTTATTTTAGTAAGCGATTAACCTGGCTAGTTCCAACCTTCTGTGACTGTGGTTCCAATCTTGGTTCAGTTTTAAAGTGTTAGCAGTGGTATTTGAATTTGTCCTCTTTGTACCACCCAGTAATTAGCCTTGGGTCTGAGTGAAATTTTATGTTAGCTAAGTTCTCAGTGTCTTTGGTATGCTAGTTAGAACCATGCATATTCAGGTGAGAGGAGTGACCTCAGAAGTTAATATAAAATTCCCTGTGGTGTTTCGTCTTCCCACTATGTTTTTAGTGTTTTCTGGTTCTTTGGTGATCTTTCTTTTAGATGTCTGATTAGAAATCAGATGCTCCAAATTTCTCTGAACTTTAAAGATTCCTCTTCTGACTGTTATAGCCATAAATAGAGGACTTTTCCTGCATTTTTCTCTGTCTGTGTCACTGTGCTTACTTCTAGATTTGAGGCTGCACTGGATATAGGCTGGGAAAGCGGTTGTTGTTGTTTAATTGCTAAGTTGTGCCTGACTCTTTGCAACCCCATGGACGGTAGCCTGCCAGGCCCCTCTGTCCATGGGTTATTGGAGGAAAAAGAATACTGAGTTGGTGGTGGTTTGAATTCTTTTTTGATTCTCATACAGCTGCACTATCCAGGTTTTGTAGTGTTCACTTGGAAAGAAAGAGTTGTGTGTTTAATCTATCTTACCCCAAGTTGGACCTCTATTATGTTTTGAAAGTTTATATTCTGAATTTATACTCTTTATCAGATAGTTATTGCTGAAAGGGGGACCGCTTCTAGGGCCCAAGAGTGGACTCTTGTCTGACACTCAGAAATGAATTGTCCAAGGAGACATATGTGCTGACAAAGCAAGAGACTTTATTGGGAAGGGGTGCCTTGTGGAGAGCAGGAGGATAAAGGAACCCAGGAGGACTGCTCTGCCATGTGGCTCGGGGTCCCTGGTTTTCTGGTGATGGGTTAGTTTCTGGGATGTCTCTGGCCAATCATTAGGACCTAGGGTCCTTCCTGGTGACACACTCATTGCTCAACCAAGATGAATGCCAGTGAAGAGGATTCTAGGAGGTCAGTAGGGCATGTCTCCTTTTGACCTTTCCCAAACTCTTCTGGTTGATGATGGCTTGTTGGTTCCATGTTCCTTACCAGGACCTCTTGTCCTAAAATAACTCTTGTGAATAGTTACTATTTCACTAGTAAATAGTTACTATTTCACTTTTCATTTTGATGAAAGTGAAAGAGGAGAGTGAAAAAGCTGGCTTGAAACTCAACATTCAAAAAACTAAGATCATGGCATCCGGTCCTATCACTTCACGGCAAATAGATGGGGAAACAATGGAAACCGTGACAGACTTTATTTTCTTGGGCTCTAGAATCACTGCAGATGGTGACTGCAGCCATGAAATTAAAAGACGCTTGCTCCTTGGAAGCAAAGCTGTGACCAACCTAGACAGCATATTAAAAAACAGAGACATCACTTTGCCAACAAAGGTTCGTCTAGTCAAAGCTATGGTTTTTCCAGCAGTCATGTATGCATGTGAGAGTTGGACCATAAAGAAAGCTGAGAGGCAAAGAATGGATGCTTTTGAACTGTGGTGTTGGAGAAGATTCTTCAGAGTCTTTTGAATAGTTCAAACAGGTTCTGTCAAGTACAGTTGTTGTCTAGGTGGAGAGATGAAGGCTTAGTACTTCCCACTCTTTCTGCTTTCCTGAGGTTTCTCTAGTATACTCTCATAAGATTCTTCCCCAGCTGCTCTAAAAAAAAGCAAGGGAGGAATCTGGACCAGTGCTTTCTAGATCAGAAGAGTATTCCTTAGATTCTGGTGTACGCATATGCCACTGGATTAGTCCAGATGAAAGCTTAGGGAAGTACACCTTCTCCAGGCAGCTCTTTAGGAAACCGCGGGGAGAGGGAAAGTTTTCCCGATCCCCACGCCAAGTAAAAGATGCACAAGCCATCTGAAAAAGGAGGGTAGTATTTCTTCTCGGCATGAACTTGCTCTGCTGGCTCCAGCTGCAGCGCCACGCACGTCCACTAGGGACCGCGCCAACGACCCAATCTGGGCGGGCAAACCGGGCGACGCCCCGCGCGTGCTCACTGGGTGTAGCGCTTGCCTCTGACCCTCCGCGGACAGCCTAGCTTTGGGCTGCTGCTCTTCTGGCGCCTGCCCTAAAGCAAACTCCTAGCAGCTGGGTACGGTAGCTCTTTGGGGACAAAAGTCTTCCCTCTGGGGTGGGCTCCACTTCGCGCTCACGGGTCTTTCGGGCAGACCTGAGCCGGCAGGTTTCAGAGGGTGCGCTGTGCTGCTCTCCGGGGACCAGGAAGAGGCCGGGCTTGCGCGGAGTTGGGGTTGACCTGGGCTGGGGCCCGCGGGACGCCGTCGCTGCCCGGATGTTGCGATGGCTGATCGGGGGAGGCCGAGAACCACAGGGACTGGCCGAGGTAAATCCCCGGGTGGACCCTGCCTGCCGCCGCAGCGGCCTAGCCTGCCCGAACTGTGGCTGCTGTCTGAGCCCGGCTCGCGTCCGGACGTGGGAGACCCGGCGGAGGCGGGGCCTGCGGGTTCCGAGGGCGAGGTCAGCGGGGGTGGGGGGCCCTTTCCCTGAGAGGTAGACCCCGCTTCTAGGAAATGTGGAGACGGAAACTGATGGAGTCCGACGACTTAATCAAGGACGCCCAACTAGTCTTCTGCCTGCTTAAAGCAGTCTCATTCTAAATAAAAAGCATTCAGTTTAGTAGAGAGTAAGTCGTGTGACTGCAGATTTACACTTTTGGTTTGTTTGATACTTTGTCACTTCTCAACATCAGCTGATGCGTGCTCGGGGAATATGAAGTTAATTTCATTAATTCTGTGAAACCAAAAAAGATGTGATTATTTTAAAAATCAATAATTTGCTTAAAAGTTAAAATTATATTCGAATTATCTATTTTGAGTTCCATAGTCACACTTTCTTCATGGGCCTGAATAGCCGAATAGACTTAAATGTTGAGAATAAAGTAGTTTTGGAACCTGGAAAGTATTGAGGTCTGGAATTTATTTCAAATGCTATTCAAGAATAGGATTCATGTTGAATTTTCTCTTTTTTTAATAGGGAATATTTTTGATTGTTAAGAAAAACTTGCATTGTAAGCAGTCTTCTCCGTTTTAACTTCCTCATATCTTTGCAGTTGAGGCTTATTATCGTTATCTTAAAAAGTATTTCTTATTTAAAATTAGGTTTATTACAGATAGACTTAAATTCTAAAGATTGTGGAAGAATTGTGGAAAATTGACTAGTTCATGTGTGATATATATGACAGCTCCTTATTAACCCAATTATTTTTTAATCATAGAATTTGATTAACTAATTCTGCCCTGTTTAGCAAATTTTCATTTGGAGGAAGTAGTATACAGTTTTCAAACTTCTTGGATTTGCTTTTTCTCATCAGAACCACTGCTAGAAGGGCGATGGGATAAATGAAAAAATTACTGCTTTGAGTGGATTTTTTTAAAAACATTAATGAGTGTTAAATTGTATATTTCGTGTAAAAGTACTTGTGTTTTATAACTGCTGTGAATTTGTACATTATTCGAACCAGTGATTTTCCATTCATTATGTAAGAACTTAGTATCTAGGCTTCTAGTTTAAGCACTGTTTGCCTACTGGGATGGTTTTGCCCCTTAGAGGACATTTGGCAATGTCCAGAGACATTTTTATTTGTCACTATTGAGGGGTTTGGGGAGAGGTTGGATATCTATTGATATTTAGTGTGTAGAAGCCAGGAATGATGTTCAGCATCTTGAAATGCACAGGAAAGTCCTCAACAAAAGAATTACCTGGTCCAAAATGTCAGTATTGTCACCTTTGAGAAGCTACAATTTAGAGGTTAAGGAAGCAAGTTTTATCATGAAATAGTACTGGAGATGACTATAGAAATGGAGTTGGTAAGATCTACCTTACAGAATTATTCAGTGAGTTATAAGCCATATGTGCCTTTATAGAGTGTCTGGCGTATGGACTGCCACTCATATATTTTCAAATAGAAATAAAGGTGTGTAGGTCTTAGGACTAAGCATCATACTGTGTAAATTTACCAATTTATCAATATTGTCCAAAGTTGAATTTATTGAATTCATTGACTGAATTATTTCACTTTCCCTTTGTTCATTCAGTACATGGGTCGAGTGCCTGTAATGGGGTAGGCACTGTTTTAGTCTATGTTATATTTTACCCCTTTGACTTAGAGTTGTATTTATACCACATTTTGAGAAACGTTCATTTTAAAATATTGTGTTGGTTTGGCCTGTTAGTTTTTTAGATCAGGTTTATTGAGGTATAATTTCCATAAAACAAAATGCCTCTTTTAAAATTTATTTTGACCTGAAAAGATTTAAATTTATGATGTGGATTTGTGCTAAGAGAAATGTTTTATGTTAAATTGGCAGTTACTTAATATTAGGGGAAATAATATATAGTATTAGGATATCATATATTACAGTTTCTAAAATCTTGTGTTCTTAGATGTATACCATATAGTTTTAGTCCAACATGATCTTTTACCATAAATCATTTTATGTTTTTTTCTGTTTCCCCCATTACAAGAAATCTCCTTTACAGACAATAGGTGAAGAACAAACCCAGAACCCCTACACTGAACTGCTTGTACTGAAAGCTCATCATGACATTGTACGGTATCTGGTACGGTTAGATGACTACAGGTAAGCAGCTCTGGTTATTCAATTGACTACTGTTTGAAAAGAGTTTTAGGAATTTTATATTAAAAACAACTTCCGAATTAATCCAGCTTTTCTAAAAATTTTGGAACTGATCAGTAATAGCATTTAGTAGAAATTGACCTCAGTGGCTTGATGAAATGTGTGTCTGAAGTCTTTTTGCTCAGAAGTTAGGGTCATTTCTGGTGATTTGATGGTTATTTTTGCTTGTTCAAGGTTTGGGGTTTCTTTTTTGTTATTGTTTTTGCTGCTGCTGCTGCTGCTAAGTCATGTCAGTCATGTCCGACTCTGTGTGACCCCATAGACGGCAGCCCACCAGGCTCCTCCATCCCTGGGATTCTCCAGGCAAGAATACGGGAGTGGGTTGCCATTTCCTTCTTGTTTTGAATATTCAACAAATACTGTTAGTTTAAAGGAAATATATGGCTTTAAAATGTTGGTGGGAGTTTTAACTGTATGTTAAGGTGAATCTAAATTTGAGAACCAACCCAGGTGGATAGTGGTAAACAGCTCACCTGCCGCTGCAGGAGACGCAGGAGGTGTGGGTTTGGTCCCTGGGTCAGGGAGACCCCCTGGAGAAGGAAATGGCCAGTGTTCTTGCCTGGAAAATCCCATGGACAGAGAAGCCTGGTGGTCTACAGCGCAGGGGGTCACGGAGTCAGGCATGAGTGAGTGCACACACACACACACACACACACACACACATATCACATACACACAAAATGTTTAAATACCAGGTACCTCCCGGGAATGTACTATTTTCAGTGGAAGATTAGGAAAGTATTTAATCTGAATTTTTTGTTATTCAAAATGTACCTTATTCTTTTCTTTCTTTCTTTTTTTTTTTTAACACCAAAAACATTTAGTACTGGGTTATAGCTAGTTAGCAATGCTGTGACAGTTTCGGGTGAACAGTGAAGGGACTGAGCCATACATATCCATATATCTGCTCTCCCCCACACGCCCTTCCATCCTGACTGGCACACAACATTGAGCAGAGTTGCATGTGCTATTCAGTAGGTTTTTGTTGTTATCCATTTTAAATATAGCAGTGTGTACATGACCTTCCCAAAGTCCTTAACTATCCCTTGCCCCCAGCAACCATGAGTTCATTTTCTAAGTCTGTGAGTCTCTTTCTGTTTTATTTTGTTTATTTGTGTCATTTCTTTTTAGATTCCACATGTAAGGGATGTCATACGATATTTCTCCTTCTCTTCATACTTACCTCACTCAGTATGACGCTCTCCAGGTCCATCCATGTTGCTGCACTGGCCTTATTCCATGCTTTTTAATAGCTGAGTAATACTCCCTGCATTTCTCGCTCTTTGCGTGTGGATATGTATGTGTACACACATCTGTGCATTCTGATTTATTTACCCACTCCGCTGTCAGTGCACATTGACCTTGTTTCCGTGTCTTGGCCACTGTACACAGTGCTGCAATGGACATTGGGGTGCATGTATCTTTTCAGGGCATGTTTGTCTTTGGAAAATGCCCAGGAGTGGGATGTAGGGTCACTTGGTAGCTCTGTTTTTAGTTTTGTAAGCAATCTCCATACTGTTCTCCATAATGGCCTATACCAATTTACAATCCCACCAACATCGCAGGAGGGTTCCCTTCTCTCCACTTCCTCTCCAGCATTTGTTGTTGGTAGGTTTTTTGATGATGGCCATTCTGACCAGTGTGAGGTGATATCATTGTAGTTTTGATTTGCATTCCTCTAATAACTAGCAGTTTTGAACATCTTTTCATGTGCCTATGGGCCATCTGTATGTCCTCTTTAGAGAAATGTTTATTCAGGTCTTCTGCCCATTTTTTCAGTGGGTTGTTTGTTTTGATGCTATTAAGTGTCTTAAGCTGTTTGTAAATTTTGGAGACCAATCTCTTATCAGTCACATCATTGGCAAATATTCTCTCTCAGTCTGTGGGTTGTTTTTTTTGTTTTGTTTATTGTTTCATTGCTGTGCAAAAGCTCTTGAGTTTAAGTAGGTCCCATTTGTTTATTTTTGCTTTTATTTCCATTATTCTGAGAGATGGGTTAAAAATGATTTTGCTGTGATTTATGTCAGAGAGTGTTCTACCTATGTTTTCCTCTAAGAGTTTTATAATGTCCGATCTTACATTTAGGTCTTTAATCCATTTTTCACTTATTTTTGTGTGTGGAGCCAAGAAATGATCTAATTACGTTCTTTTACATGTGGCTGTCCAGTTTCCCCAGCACCATTTGTTGAAGGGACTGTCTTTCCGACATTGTGTAGTCTTGCATCCTTTGTCATAGATTGATTGATTAGGTGCATGGGAAAATGTACCTTACTCTATACTTCCTTGCTAACATTTATTGTGTTTAGTATATTTACTAATAGAGAAGGTGTATAGGTCTTGGGCTATAGGTTTAGCTTGTTATTGATCTGTATATCTGTTTTATTAAGCCTCTGTTCAACTATATGCTTATCCTGTGTAGCCTCTATCACAGATAACAATTACACAATTAATTGTGTAACTGTATAATATTTATCTTTCTCTCTAGATGAGAGTGAGGGACCTCTTTTTTCCTTATTCTCCACAGTATCTTTAGTACTTGGCATGGTGCCTTACATGTAGCAGGTAACTAATAATTGTTAAATGAATGGATAACTCCCTCAACTATTAACTGTACATGTTGCATGCCATCCTGAATTCCTAACTCCACTTCTCTTGTCTATATCAACTATTCCACTGTCATCTCTTAATTTTCTCTCTTGTCTTTGATACCACCTTTATTCTTTTTCATCCATTTTGGACTCAGTGAGTGACTGCTACTGTGATTATTTCCAGTTCTCAGTATCATTGCTAATGTCCTTTAACCTTGTCTTCTCTGCTCTTTTTATGTCTTTGGTGTTTAGTTGATTGTCCCACGTACAGTGCAATTCTGGCACTGTCTGGAGTTGTGTTGAATTTTAAAGGTTAAGAGGACAGTCCTGTTTAACAGTCCCTTCACCACAGTCACAGCTGCAATTTCTGGGATTCCCAGGCTACCTGCACTTTTGGCCAATTAGCTACAAATTCCCACTCCCCCCTCAGGTTTGATAATTCTCTAGAATGACTAACAGAACTCAGGAAAGCACTATATTTATGATTACAGTTTTTAGAAAATTAATTAATTTTAGTTGGAGGCTAATTACTTTACAGTATTGTAGTAGTATTTTGCCATACATTGACATGAATCCGCCATGGGTGTACGTGTGTCCCCCATCCTGAACCCCCCCTCCTCCCTCCCCATCCCATCCCTCAGGGTCATCCCAGTGTGCCAGCTCTGAGTGCCCTGTCTGATGCATCAAATTGGGAAGGTGATCATTTCATATATGGTGATATACTTGTTTCAGTGCTATTCTCTCAAATCATCCCACCTTCACCTTCTCCCACAGAGAATATCTGTGTCTCTTTTGCTGTCTCACATATAGGGTCATTTGTTACTATCTTTCTAAATTCCATATATGTGCACTAATATACTGTATTAGTGTTTTTCTTTCTGGCTTACTTCGCTCTGTATAATGGGCTCCAGTTTCATCCACCTCACTAGAACTGATTCAAATGCATTCTTTTTAATGGCTGAGTAATATTCCATTATGTGTATGTACCACAGCATTCTTATCCATTCACCTGCTGATGGACATCTAGGTTGCTTCCATGTCCTGGCTATTATAAACAGTGCTGCGATGAACATTGGGGTACATGTGTCTTTTTCCTCGGTGTGTATGCCCAGCAGTGGGATTGCTGGGTCATATGGTAGTTCTATTTCCAGATTTTTAAGAAATCTCCACACTGTTCTCCATAGCGGCTGTACTAGTTTGCATTCCCACCAACAGTTTAAGAGGGTTCCCTTTTCTTTACACTCTCTCCAGCATTTATTGTTTGTAGACTTTTTGATAGCAGCCATTCTGACTGGCGTGAGATGGTACCTCATTGTGGTTTTAAATTGAATTTCTCTGATAATGAGTGATGTTGAACATCTTTTCATGTGTTAGTTAGCCATCTGTATCATTATAAAGGATATGGTTGGGGCTAGCCAAATGAAGAGATACAAAGAGTAAAGGTCTAGAGGGATACTGAATGCAAGGTTTCTGTGTCCTCAGGACACATCCCCCTTTCAATGTATCAATGTGTATCACCAATGAGGAGGCTCCCTCAAACTTTGGGTGTCCAGAATTTTTATTGGGGTTTTATTACATGGGAATGATTATTTCACTTACTTGCCACATGACTGAATTCAATTTCCAGTCCTTCTCTACCTGTTGTCCCCTCCCTGAGCCCCCAGGTTGGGAGGTCAGGATGATATCCCATGGCTCAAAGTCCCAAACCCCTAATTACATGGTTCATATTTCCCACATGGCCAGTCCCCATCTTTACATTGTCTAAGGGTCCACCATGAGGCATGTCGTTAGCATAAACTCAGGTGAGGTCTGAGGGACCCAGCTCTCCTTTAGAAACCAGGGACAAGTCTAGCCAAATTACTGTATGAACACATGCTCCTCAGATTTTAAGATTTCATGTTGATTGCTATCCTGCAAAATGTCTTCTTGACTATTCTTATTACATAGTTTGAAGAATCTGAAGAAAAGGCCATCTCATAGAGTAATGATCATTGTACAGATACTGATCCTTGATTGCATTTTCCCAGTGTGGTGCTTGTGTGAGGGCTAAGTCGCTTTAGTTGTGCCTGACTCTGTGACCCAATGGACTGTAGCCTCCCAGGCTCCTCAGTCCATGGGATTCTCCAGGCAAGAATACTGAAGTGCGTTGTCATGCCCTTCTCCAGGGGATCTTTCTGACCCAGGGATCAAACTTGCATCTCTTATATCTCCTGCATTGGCATGCAGGTTCTTTACCACTTGTGTATACTTCATTTATTCAGTGATGTAGTAAATGTTTTGTCAGTAGTGCAGAGCTATAGAAGAGAATATGAGTTATCTATTGCATTGTCAAATATCAGCCCAAACAGTGACTGC